CTTCCAGAATTCCCCAGCCAGCAAGGCTGGCTGGGGAATTTTGGGAGTTGAAGTCCACCTATCTTAAAGTTGCCAAGGTTGAGAAACACTGCTGCAGACCATAACAAAGTAACAATATTACTTTGAAATATCCTTATTTATATAAGCTTCTTTAATCATAACCCTCAATACCCTTATATAAATTGAAATCAGTTTGCTTCCTTGTCCGAATAACACCAGTTAAAAACCCACCACTGCTAGAAGAATTGGATCACAAAGAAGATATTTAACATAGAATTGATCAGAATGTTAAAATGGGATGAATGAAACCATTAGATCAGTGTTTCTCAACCTTGGCAACTTTAAGATGTGTGGACTTCAACTCCCAGAATTCCCGAAAATAAATCGCCAGCTCATCTCAGGTAAAGTGGGACCGGGGCTAAGTGTTCAGCTGCGAATTCTGGGAGTTGAAGTCCACACGTCTTAAGGTTGCCAAGGTTGAGAAACACTAGATGAACAAAGAGCAAAGCTACAACAGAGGAGTATAGGCCCCATTGCTTCTACAAGGTTATTACAGGCCAGCATGCTCTAAACATTTAGATGGCTCGTACAGGGTGACGAAAATAAATCGCCAGCTCATCTCAGGTAAAGTGGGACCGGGGCTAAGTGTTCAGCTGCCGCACTATGACTTGTGTGTCATTCAGGTCAATCGAGAGGCCTAGGAATACGTGACTGGTAAACTGCAATGTGGACACACACATAAAATGTTAAAATACAGCCGTACCCAGAAACAGGAACTTTGATTTAGCTGAGATATAGTGCAGGGGGTCAATTATGATTCACTGCTGTAAAGAAGAACATTTGCAGGCCACGAGGAGTAAAAGCCACAATTCCACTGGTATATTATGTTTTTTTTTTTTTAATTGCCTTTGATCCCTTGCAAACTTTGTAGGAGGAAAGGCATATTAGTCCTTGATAGCCCAAAATCAGGGGTCTGGTAGCATCTTTTCTGACTAGCAAATTTTATTAAACCTAAGATGGTGGGCTGTGTATACTCGTTAATTGGGTTTGAAAAGAAATGTGCACACAGCCTGTTGTGAAAAGAAATTAAGGATAGATTATCCTTCCTTAAAAAAAAAACCTGCATCTTTGTAACTAACCTGTCTTCCGCTCTTTCCTCCCCCCGCACTTCTTTCCAATTTAAATCCCGCATCAGTTTAGCCACTCCATGCAGCCGATGAAGTGAACTGCAGCTCCTGAAAGCTTTGATTTAATAAAAGGTGTCAGTTGCAAAAGGGGCTACCGGGCTCCTGATCTCTGATCCCTTGAAAACTCCCCAGAGCGTTTCAAGAATGCTTTCAGCGCCCTGGAGTCCCAGGGCAAATCAAAGATCATTTTCAGATGCTGCTTTTCATGGGAGATGAAATTTATTTTCCAGAACAGAGCGCCAAATAAAAAGTGGGTAACGTCTTGCCAATCTCAGCCACTGGCAGCTTCATTTAACACTTTCGCTTTCTACATCATTCCACACCTTGCCAGGTGTTTCCAGAACGAGGGAAGTAAACAAACAACCCCCAGCTTGCCCCATGCTGAACCTGGTTGAGAAAAGTGCAAAGAGAGATTTATTTGGCTTGTGGGTGTGTGAACTATGTGAGGAGGAAAGAGGTCATCAAGAGGTTGTGTTGATAGAAGAAAGTCAGCCACTTTTCAGGGGATGTGTTCTTCCTTAGCAGTTAAAGGAAGCCGCGGGACATTCTTTTCACTCCCAGGTCTTGCAATAAAATGGCAGAGGTGATTCTGAGAAATTTGATTCACCTGTGAAGGCTGGGAAGGCCAATGGAATCTGGATTTGCCAGATGATGTCTGGATTTGTGTCACGCTAAACCATAGTTTTACCTTGGTTTAAGTAAACGGTGCTTGGCCAGGTTTGCAAAAACCAGAGAAACCATACTGGCTGTATTTACACAACCCATTTACCCTTCATTAAGTTAAAAGTGGTTTACTTAACCCAGTTTTCTGAATTTGCATGTTATAGTGATCTGTAACATGTTCACACAGCGTGTTAAGCAAAAATAGGATAGGCTAGTTCACATTTAATGGATTGTATGAACACAGGCATTAACCTCAGTCCATGAGTGCATGCCGTGTCATTTTACCCCTTATCATGGGTTGCTAAAAATTAAAAATTGCAGCCACAGAATTTTAGATGACACACCTTAAACACAACATTTAGTAGGGAATAAAATGTTGTGCGCTCATTTGCTGAAGTTTTTGACTTTGCAGATCAGGTGAACGATACCAACACTTGCATGATATAGTAAGTCAGAAAGCAGAGTTCATCAGTGTGCTCCATTCTGTTATCGCACTTCTGTCACAGGAAAAAATTGAACCTTAACGTGATGTTCAAATGTGGAGCAGTTGCCATTTTTGGTTTATGGAAAATGGAATTTCTAACTGAGACTTGTAACTGTGTACTCTCATTTACTGGTCTTGAAATGTGAACACAGACTCTGTTGTGGAAAAAAAAGCCTCTTCTTCCTTTCATTCCTATACTTGGAGGCCACAAAGTGGTTTCCCACCACTGCCTTAATATCCAAGATTAGGAAATCTATGGACTTCTAGAAGTTGCTGAACCACAGCTTTCAGCATTCCCAAACCAGCAGACAATGGTGAGAAATGCTGGGGATTGCAGTGTGCACGTGTGTGTGTGCACGGCTGCATGTGCTGAATGACAGGTTTCTCACCCCCCAATAGACCGCAGAGTATTGTCTGAGAAACATCATTTACATCCTCAGTTTACTCAAAGGTTAATGCATGACATATACCTTCCCACCTGCACCCATTCATTTCCCTTTCACATTTACTTAAGGGACATTTAACCTGCAGCCGCCTTTGCTTATGGGGCAACCAGAAAAAAGGGGGGCGTCTTTCCTCCCCTTGGACCCAGGTGCTTCAGGAGGGACTACTCATCCATAAACAGGGGGCCTTGATTTACCACTGAAGCGCCATTTATTTTAGTTTACTCAGCTGGAGGGGAATAAAGGTCCTTATCTTGATACACCCCCAGCTGGGCCCTAGAGGTGACCTTCCGCCAACTAATACCGTAGAATCAACACCATGCAAACAAGGCCTTCCAGGCAAAATCCGTCTATAGCAGGGGTCAGAGGGGCATTCCCCATGCCCCTGGGGCAAAGCGGAGTTGAAAGATCCATTGAATAAAGCTATGTGCCCGACCTACTGTCTTCAGATATCTTGGAAGTATAATTTCTGGGTGACTGAGAATTTAGGAAATGTGGGTCCTGACACATCCAGAAGATAGCAGGGGGAAGACTTCTAAAATAAGGCAGTATCTATTTGTAATGTGGGAGTATGTAAGTATGTATGTTTTCTGGTTGCACAGACTTTTGGGACCAGAGTTTTATCTGAGAAATCTTCCAGTATCATTCCAAAGTCTACACACATTTCAAATTATTGAGTTAGCTGAGATCAATGTCTGATCCCTGCAGCCACGTACTGTAGTATTTTTGGCAGTGTTAGAGAATTGATTTGAGAACACAAGAGTAGCCCAGCTGGATCAGGCCAAAGACCATCCATCCAGCCTTCCATCTCACACACAGATGCATACTGGAAGCCCACAAACAGGAGATCAAGGCTTCCCTCCTCTTCCATTGCTGCTGGTTCACCTAATATGCAGGAGAGACTGCCTCTGTACCTGGAGGCATCACAGCTAATGGCCCTCAGTAGTCTTCTTGGAAGCTATCTATTCCTCTTCTGAAACCATCTAAACTAGCAATCATTATGTTCTTCCAGAGTTCCAGCTTTCCAATCTAGCCAACTCCCTTAGGATTTCCTGATGTAATGGACAGAAGGAAGGAATGATCTTGGACAGGAGGAAGAACCGCTACCAGGACAATGGTCAGATAAAATAAACCTGAGTCTAGGGCAGAACTGTATCCTGAGAAAACGTCTCAGACAAGACCCTCACGTAGATAAAGGGAGGGAGGGGGGAAGCACATTCAGACTTGCAAGATCCAGTTATTATAACCTTGTAACAAAAGTGGTATTGGTCTCAATGACTTTGGTTTTATGGTCTGGTTTAACCTGAAGGGCTGACACTGGTGGTCTCCCATCCAAGTACTAACAAGGCTTTTGCTTAGGGTTTTTTCTTCTTCAGAGATTGGCCAAGTTGCCCACTGCTGCCATCCTGCTGGGCTAAAATGGCCAAGTGGCTCTTATATTACTCCAGCATAATTGTTTGGTGGGCTTGTGTTTTTAGAAATTCACAACTGTTTATAAGCATAGATAAAAAATATTATCAAGGTTAATTGTCTCTTTGCCTAACTATTAGTAATGGAATATAGCAGGTTTTCAAACTTCTTCAGGCTATGGAATCTGTTCGGTCCCCCCCCCCCCCAAGAGGCAAAGCTCTAGTGACACTGGTTGCATTCGAGTGAACGTTTTATTTGCCCTTTGTTCTCATGGAACCCAAGAATTCTTTGGGACAGAGTTTGAAAAATTCTATTATATAGAAATATTGTATACGCTCCATTTATACTTCACAATATTAGCATTTTGTAATCTTAATACAGGTGACTCCTTAAAACAACAGCACTGTTTTTCAGGCTTGCGCAGAGGCCTAACCCCCACCCCACTAAGTTTGCTATGTTTACCAGGCTGGATAAATATTTGTCAAATGTTTCCCCCATTACAGTATGTGGCATAACTTTCCTTTATCCTCTCACCATTCCAGCAATAAGGTTTGTTTTGAATAGAAGACCAAAACTCAAGTGGCATTTGCCACCATTCTACGATGCTTAACAATTCACGTGCTATTTTTGATAATGATCTGTTTGATTTAATGACCCAGGCTAAATTTAGATACCGATGAGGCAGGAAGCCATTAATTTTCTAAATTGCTTCCAAATAAAATTTTCTTTGTAGCGTGATTTAGGAAAATTAGTGAGCAAATGTAATGCCAGAAGCAATCAAATATTTTTGATAAAAAGTTGATGTATGAGACTAAGAATGCTCAAAAGATGAGAGAAGGAAAAGAATTGTAAAATGAGAAGACTATGCGATGAAGAATGAAGTGAACTTGGGAGAGGAGAATTAGAAAACTAAATAAATTATACCAGTAAGACGAATCAGTAATTAAAAAATTATGTTTTAGTTTTACTGAAGTATGATATTCTCATTTACTCTAAGTACAAGATACATCTGATCACTTAGAATGGTAATTTAAAAAAAAAAAAACCAGTGAAGAACTCAGGTTTCTGCATGACAAATCACCACTTTAAGATAGCATAGCAGCTGCATTAATAGTGAGTTATCTGTCAGAGAAAATTTCACTGGGAAAAAATTGCGTATCAAAGTATTAGCCAAACGACTAAATGCGCAAGATAAAAATTTACAAAGAGAATAGAATGGGATGAGAAATATGGAATTACTGGTAATTTGGCCATGTTTACTATTATGTAGCAATCCCATTCACTGCTCCATGTCTGGTTTTATAAGAGGTTCAGTAAGAAAATGTCAAGGTACCTTGGAAATATAATTTTATTTTTTCAAAAATCCCCCAAAAGTTCATTTGTGATTTTGTCTTGTGTTTTAATAATATACTATTAAAATATGTAAAACATCAAAAATCTCAGCATTTATATATGCATATATTTCTAAACTGGGTACAATAGTTTGAATATCAAACCTTAACTAGCTCCACATTTTTGTGAAGAACAATGACATCTGTATATCATATACCACCACAGTCCACAAATATTTTCTCTGTTTTTTGTAAGGGAGACTCGATAAAATATACTTGATATTATAATTTCAGTTTTGACTCTTTTGCTTTCAGTGCTTTAGTTACTAGTTCAATTTTCTCTTTTAGTAAAGCACCTTCTTCAACACGTGTGTGAGCTTGAATATTTTTCATCAAGAAATGGGTAAGGAAAAGCTTCAAGCCTTCATGTAGCATCCCCAACTTGGGGTTGTCAGCCAACCTGGAAGATACACAGAAAACTGTGGTTTAAATAACTTGCATTTCCTTTTAGACATTGCTACATCATGGTTTTAAAAAACAGTATTAGATGAACAAGATTTATATTAATATTCTATGGCTTGGCTGGTTAAGCTACTAAATGCTTCCATTTGGGCTCAACAGCAGAACTGAGATGCTGTAAATGCTTGTTGCCATGTGTAGCCAGAACTATTTATTCATTTAAAAATAAATAAACAAACAAATTCCCTTTTCTAATTGTAAAAATGGCTTGACAAATCCCACTCGGAATACTTGGGAAGACTTACTTTCCAAAGATATGGTTGAGCTCTTCTTGTTCTGTTTTTAGGAATAACGCAGATAACACCTGCCGTAGGAAGTGAACTTTCGGCTTATCTAATTCACTGAATTCAATCACCTAATTAAACAGCAATGGAAGAGCAGGTCAAAGCAAATCCTGTTTAAGAACTCTCATCTAGGTCTGTCTATGCTTCAAAAATGATCTGGATGAGTGCCTTGCATGGACACAGTACCTCTCTGCTAGTTATTAAAGCCACCCGATTGTTCTCAGGCTCAGCAGAGAGGTCCAAAGCCCTTTTTCAAAATCATTTTCAAAGTGTGCGCAATCCTACTGTCAACTTATCAAATTATTTTCAAAATACTATCACTTAGATATACATCTCATGTACATTAATAAAAAAGAAAACTCAGCAGTATTTCCCAAAGCTGGCTTCAATTGCTTGAACTTATAGCAAGAGTTTAAAGTGCAATCATGACTCCAACATAAAAAAAATCTCACACATACTTCCAAGAATATGGTAAAATTTTCATTAACTAATGAACAGTCATTTACTTAAACCTTAAAGCCATTCCACTCCAGTAGCCTGTAAAATACTTTACAGATAGTCCTTGAGTTACAACTGCAATTGCGTGAAGTGCAATGTCATACAACCGCATGGCTTAGCAATGGCAATCCAGACAGTCCCGGCTGTTGTCATAACCCAGGATGCGTGGGTTGTTAAGCAGGAAGCGGAGGGAATCCCAGGTAAAGAGCATGGGGGTGCTGCAGGGGGGTGGGGGAGGCCCTGGTTGGGGGAGGGGTGCTTGGTGTGGCATGAGCTCAGAAAGCCTGGGAAATGAGGGCGTGGGGTGTGTGTGTGCGTGAATGCAGGGAGGCTGGGAAAAGAGGGTGTGGGGTATGTGGTGCATGTGATCACAGGGAGGGCAAGGAAAGAGGGTACGGGGCATGTGTGTGTGCAGGGAAGCTGTGGAAAAATGGCACAGGGGTGCATGCACAGGGAGGCTGAGGAAAGAGGGCACAGGGTGCATGTGATTGCCGGGAGGCCGTGGAAAGAGGGCGTAGGATAGGTGTGTGCAATCACAGGGATACCAAGGAAAGAGAGCACGGTGTGTGTGTGAGTGATGCACAGGGAGGCTGAGGAAAGAGGGCACAGGGTGCATGTGATTGCCGGGAGGCCGTGGAAGGGAGGCCGTGGAAGGGAGGCCGTGGAAAGAGGGCGTAGGATAGGTGTGTGCAATCACAGGGATACCAAGGAAAGAGAGCACGGTGTGTGTGTGAGTGATCGCAGGGAGGCTGAGGAAAGAGGCTGTAGGGTGCGTGAGATCATAAGGAGGCAGGAAAGAGGGTGCGGGGTACATGCATGTGTGTGTGTGATCGCAGGCAGGTCATGGAAAGAGGGTGTGGGGTGTGTGTGTGGCTGAAGGGGGGGAGGAGGGCACGGTGCACGCAAACAAAGAAAGGCTGGGGGAGGGGAACTTACCCCAGCTACTTGTGACCTTCCTTGCCAGCTTCCCATTGACTTTGCTTGGGGGAAGCTGACAGGGAAGGTTGCAAATGGCGATCACGTGACCACGGGATGCTACAACCAGTCATAAGTGCGAGCTGGTTGCCAGGCACCCAAATTTTGTTGATGTAACTGTGGGGGGACTGCAATGGCTGGAACTTTGAGGACCAGTTGTAAGTCCCTTTGTTCAGCACTATATTAACTTCCAACAGTCATTGAACAAATGGCCATAATTCATGGACTACCTGTACCACCCAAAAACTAACACAAAAAAGAATATGCTGATATTTTTTCTTGAAATATAACTAGTCATATACTCTGCCTGGACAGGAGTTACAGAAAAAAAAATGCGCTATGCATGAACCTAAGAGCTATAAACATTAAAAAAAATAATTCTATTCACCTTGAAGACAGTAAGAGAGAGCGATTTAGTCTTTAGCAGGTGAGTCAAGAGATTAACTAAGTTGGAGAAAGCAGCAGCAGACAAATTTCCCAGATCTCTGATTTTGTCCCACATACTGAACTGGAATGTCATCTAATTCACAAAATAAAAGCAGAAAGCATTGTAATTAAACAATATTTCACCATGTTCCCTAAGAATATGTCTTTTATTCCACAGTTATGCTGACACGCTAAAAGTTGCCAAAGATTGATAGCCACTGCAAGCAATCATTTGGGAGGAGGGCCAAATCCCCCCAGGCCCATGACCTGCTTCTGAGTGCAAATCAAGGTGCTGATGATCATCGATAAAGCCCTTCATGGCACAGGGCCTGGACATTTGCAGGTCTGCCATTCTCCAACTGTTTTTGCCTGTCCAATAAGATCTCACAGGGTCCGTGTGTTCTGGGTCCCATCAATTAAACAATGCCACCTTATGGGACCCAGGAGGCATGCCTTCTCTGTTGCTAGCCTGCCCCATGGAACAGTATCCCTCCTGAGGTCTCTATAGCCCTGACCCTGTTGGCCTCCAGGAAGGAACTTAAGACCTGGTTCTTTCAGCTGGCTTTGAGTTAGATTTATGTGTGATCCTGCTATGTACTAGCAATGGTGTAATAGATCTGATTTGTTCCTCCCAACATGGTTTTTTATGTTTTCAAAATTGTTTAACTCTCTGTAAGCCACCCACAATCGGCAATACGTGTGTGGCCTTAAAAACCAAACAAACAAACAAACAAACAAACAAATGAAATGCAGCACAGCAGAGAGATCTCTTCATTTTCAAGAGGTTTTCTGTTCTTCCTTCTTGCCAGACCTATCGACTAAAAACAGGAGACAGACTATTCCTTTTAGAAGAATAGAAAGGATTCAAAAGCATCAAAGGAAAGAAATTGACTTTGTAGCTCTTCCTGGTCTCAAATTACACTCTATTTTTCAGAAGGCTGAACCAGACTTGAGAACACAAGCAAGTGAATTATTTCTCTTACTTACTGCCCTTTGGTCTTTCCCTCCTTTAAAATTTATTTAAGAATCTGAGAAGAGAGTTGAGATTTGGGGTGAAGGGGAAGACAACACCCTTCATGAATCAGTCTGCAGACCTCCAGCTGTAGAGATGCTGAGATCTTCTGCATACAAAGTGTTGTGCAGCTCAGCTCTGCAGCCTTTTCACATCAGGCTCTCTTATGGGTGGTGTGGGGGAGAGCTTTACAGACACATAGAAGCATTTAACGCCTTTTTGCTTCCTGAAATTCATGACTTAAATAAATATAGGTATTAACTTTAGAACCCATTTATTTATTTAAGTTATTTCTATACTTGATAATATACTTTTTATTCTCAAAAGGTCAACTCTCTAACTGGTAAAGAATAAGATAAGCTTTTTACTCACCTGAAATCGCCTTTCATATTCACAGAACTTGGCAGATAAATACGCGTAGAAGGGATTGTAAGTCTTCTCTTGCAGGCAACAATCTATGAGGATATGGACAATCTCTCTCTCCTGCTGATCTTTAAGCTTAAGCCTAATGCATGAAATGCCATAATGAAAGCTCTGTTTTCTGAACTTTTTATATAGAAACATTCTAAAAACAGTTTTTGCCAGCCCAAGAACCATAATTAGTCCCTTCTGGAATAGTCTAGATAAATCTAGGACAGTGTTTTTCAAACTTGGCAGCTTTAAGATGTGTGGACTTCAATTCCCAGAATTCCTCAGCCAGCATGTGGGAAATTCTGGGAATTGAAGTCCACACATCTTAAAGTTGCCAAGTTTGAAAAACACTGATCTAGTACTTGACTGTGGGATATTTCTATTTTATTTTTCTCCATTCGGGTAATTTTTGATCTGTTGGACTAAACCTTCCACCAGGATGGCCTCTAATTGAGGAAGGCTTTTGTATATATGGTTAAAAAAATATGCGTTCCTGCAGATTGGGTAGAATTGGGGGCAAAGCTCACAATATTATAATTTTTTTAAAACATGCAAGGGTTGTAGGAAGGAGTCTAGGTTGCATTCATATTTAAATGCTCTGGCAATCAAAAGGACTGAAGAAAAGGCTCCCTTAAATTTCCAGATTATAATCACCCTGATACAGAATAAAGAAGTTACTAGTGGCAGTTACTGAGGAGAAACTATCTTCCAAGTTTTTTTAATTCCTAATTGAGGGTGTTGGGAATCTCAACCCAACTAATTATAAAAATATAATCAGCATTAATGAGTCCTCACTGGCTGTCTCAGCAGAAAGTCTGGCAGGAGCGAACAGTATTCTTTCTCACAGAGCTGGACCACAAAAGAAAATTAAGACCAGTTGGCAGGGAAAACTCTTAACTTGGGCAGTACCTGTCCTGTCCAAATAAGTCTGATTTAGCCTTCCTGTCAAAGGCTTGGCAGTACTACAGTCAATTAAAATGAAAAATGCTTAATATTATAATGCAGAGTATATGAAGCACAAACATTTGCATCATTTTATTTTTTTAATCTAGTTTTTAATTTTGAGATGAACTACCTGCCTCTTTTGTTAAGACGGAAGTGCTCCACTTTATACTAAGCTATATTTCAATGAGGTCAATGGAATAAAAGCTGCAATTTAGGACAAACAACGCCACAGAAAATTCCCTGGGATGTTATCAGCCAAAAAGATCAAAGAGATGCAATTAAATTCTAGATCCAGATGCTGAAAGCATATAGAAGTAGATGCAGAGTTATGTCAAAAATCTCAATTCCTTCATACAGAGAGAGAGACTATTTTGTGTATATTACTGCTAAACAAAACACATATTATGATAGACAGCTATTTGTTCAGTAGCTTAACTTATTCGCAGCTGAAGACTCAATTTCTCCATTAAGCAGATACTTCACAGTTCTTAAACAACACATTTAACAATGCTTTGCCTCTTAATCTATGGGTCCTCTGGGTACATTTGTGTATATTTCTTTACCATAAGCAGGTTCTCATGTAAGTAGCGCATAAATATCACAACTGGTCTAGCTGATCCATGGAGACAGGATTCAGATTAGCTGTTCTTAGAGAAGACTCAGACTTAAGTCCTGCCTAACTCTGGGGCTAATTATTGTTAGCGATATTGCTCCTTGTCTCTTATTCAGTTTCTTTGCATCAAGCAGGAGAAACCCTCTTTTATCTATCTTTTGTAGCCATCACATTTCCGTTTGTGTTCCTGAAAATATCAGTGAGTGTTCTGCCCTGATGAGTACATACTTACTTTAAAAGATTTTCAAAAGCATCCAAAAAATCTTCACTTGTCATCAAAATACAAAATATATTTCTCCTGATATCAGTATTCATCCTCTGCTTATGAGCAAGTTTCAGAATCTTTGAGCTTACCTGAAGGGTTGAGAATTAAACATTCTGTAAATTATAAATACTTATTTTTAAAAATCGTGTCTTTGATGCTTCAGGTACATAAAGAACAGGAGCAAAGTCAACAACGAGGCTGGTATGCTCCTAGCTTTTCCCAGCCATGTATTATGTAGTACAATGGGTCAGGAACAGGAGGAGGAGATGTAGCTATGAGTCATAAGAACAATCTCAGTTATATTACAGTCTTTAACCTTCCATAGTTGGCTTATGGTGATCAAAGAATGATTGCTTTTCAGCTGCAAGCAGTCCTTGAGAAAGCAAATTATCTTAACCCATTTGAAACTGGTTTCAGAATGAAGCTGAACTTGCCTTGCTTGGGCAAATGGATTATCTTTGTCTGAGGACTGACTGAGGGAATGTGATGCTGAGTTTTCTTGACCTCCCTGTGACTTTCCATAACATCACCACTGTATTCTTTTGGACTGTGTGAGGAGGTACTGGCCTGCGCTGGTTTTGCTATTCTCTCACATAGATTTCAAATGGTGTGATTTGGGATGGCTGATCTTTGAAATGGGAGTTATTATATAAATTGTCCTCTCAGGGTTCCCTTCTGCCTTCAGTGATTTTCAGCATCTACGTGAAACTATGGGGAGAGATCATCAGAAGATTTTGAATGGGGTGCTGACAGTATGCTGATGACAATTAAATCTATTTCACTGTAACATCTTCAGAGATTCTGGTTCCCCCCAAAACCTGCCTGCAATTGGTAATGGATCGGATGAGGGATAACAACTGAATCTAGAGAAGACAGAGGTGCTTATGATCAGGAGCGACAATAACAGATCTCCCAGGAGCACCTTTAAGGCATCTTAAGGTGGTTAAGTACTTATCTTTAAGACATCAGCATCACTTCTGGAAAGAAAATGACCTTCAAACTGGGCTGCAGGCACTGGTAAGCCTCCTGCTTCATTAGCATAACATATTTTAGGTGGGGTTGACTTTGTGTCTTTTTTGGAAACTTCAGTTGATGAAGAACTCAACAGCTGGGCTGCATTCACAGACCATGTTAAACCTGCTGCTAAAAGTGAGGCTTCCCAATTTGTTTCTGGGCAGAATTTAAATGACCAATTATTAACTTTAAACCTCTGTATAAAATGACTCCAGGCTATTTAAGACAGCACCTCTTTTCGTATGAGCTTCCTGCCCCCTGAGATTATCCAAGGAGATCTGGCTACAGTTCTGTTGGTTCTTCTTCCCATTATTTGGAGCCAAGCTTTTTCTGTAGCTGTCCCAGTTCTTTGGGGTGCTACAAAGTAGACAGACCTTGTCTCCTTGTTTGCCTCTCAAAAGGCAACTGATTTTATTCAGTTTGTAGTATCTACGATTTTAATTTGATTTTACTGGAATCACTGAGAGACCTCATCAGTAGGGGTAGAGTAAGTTTAATAAATACGAAATAATAAAGCCTAAATAATAAATAATAAAGCCTAAATAATAAAGCCTAAGCTTTAAGCTTTCATGGAAGCAAGGTGAGTAATTCCTTAGGAAACTCCACTGTTTTTTTAAAAAATGGCAGGTTTTTGTGCCAAATTAAATAGTATATTTCCAATATTTTGAAGAAGCTTGCTTGGACTTCTATTTTGAAGAAAAAGAAGACAAGAGGATATCCATCTGAAATTATCTCCTGATCCAGATCCTGAACCATTTTCCTGACCCTTGTTATTATTTGGCTCTGAAGTTTTTTTTAAAATAGTAATCAATTTCTTTCAAGGACAATAGCAACTAGGGATATGTGACTTTTCACAGAAGCGGATCTAGGTCTCTAATCCATATAGGGAATCTGTGATAACTTTTCTTCAAAAAAAAAAAAAAGATAATTTAAGCACACTTCTTTGAAAAACAACTCCATGTATGTACAAGATCTGTTTTTCTGGGAATGAAATATTCTGGAGAATTCCAGAACATTCTGATTTTTCTCCAGACCACGCCAATGGAGTCATTCTGGGACCCACAGTTGGACTGGCATGATCTGGAGGTGAAACAGAATGTAGGTTCTGCACATCTGTAATGAACATAAAAGCTGGATTAAGACATCATTTTAAGTAATAACGTGATTTACCTGGATGCCTTTGGGTTAGTATTTGTCAACAAATCATGGCTAAGGTTTCTCTAGTATGCTAGTAATGGTGTTTCCAGACAGATTATTGTTGACCATTGTGTGGGAACTGAATAATGTTTGCAACTGAGCATTCAGACTTAGAAGTAAAGGAAGTGGGGAGATATAAAACAAAACAAAACACAGCCTTTTCACTCTGGTAGACATGAAAAAGAGGAAGCTCCCACTCATTATGGCAATGTAAGATTAGTATTTTCTACTTCAGTCACCACTGAATAGATTTTGAAACAAATCAATTTCCAAGCAACTCCACTACCATCATACTGTACTCATATATGTTAATAAAGAAACTTACTGGAAGAAAAAAAGCATACTGAGAAATTGTTTAAACCATAGTGTTAAAAAGATATTAGCGTACCATTACCTTTCCCACAGGTAGTATTTGATCAATTTTGTTGCTGGTGCTGTCAACCATTGGGGCACCAGTCCAAGAGGATCCAACAATCCACCAGCGACCAACCTGATCAGCTGTGAGGAGAGACTCCAACGACACACGAAGTTGAGATTCTTTTCCGGAACTATTATTGTGAGTCTGTAGAAAAAGAAGAGTGTTCACACAGACCCTTTTTTAAAAATAAAGATATTTATATTGAAAGGCTGGTCAGTATAATTACTGTTCATCTTCCCTACACTCAAATGTAACTGGAAGACCAAAACTGTGTTTTATTTGACACTGGGCTCTTTTTAAATAAGTGACAAACCCATCAGTCAATTCTTTTCCTGTAAACTTAATTGTATTTTGCTGTAATTTAATATTAATAGGTCCAAAATCTTCATAATATTAGTAACAGTTTCTACTATTGTTCAGATTCTATTAAGAGAATATAGATTTTAAAAAAGGAATAAATGTTTTCTCTACTTTACCAGTGTTCTCAGCAGCTTTCGTAATTTTTCAACTGGCTCTGGATCATAACCAGGAATTTTCCTCATGTCATTATTTTTTAGCGCCAACATAATCTCCAACATAAAGCGAACCTTTTGAAAAAATATAATAGGCCTGCATTATTATTCTAAAGCCTAAAATGGCAACTTTCCTAACAGAAATATGAAAAACAGACTACAGCTAAGCTACCATTTTATACTGAACTCCACAACTGATATTAAAACTTGCCCAACAAAATAAAAAATGTCACTGAGTTCCTTCCCCAGCCATTATTATTTTACTAATTTTAAAAAGTTCCGTTTAGTAGGGGATGCTCAAACCTGTAAAAAACATTGCACCGCTGAGCTGAGCTCCTGATGACTCCTGATGACATTCTATAGCACAGACCTGGATGTTTATATTACCTAGAACACGCCTAAGCATAGCCTTGTTTTTATACAATATAATCACTAAGAATTATTACTCTTAAGTAAGCCAACCTCTTTTCAATGCAGTCTTCAACCAAAAAAGAATAACAACTCTGATCCACCTTAACAGATCTGTTGGAAAAAGGCCTGAAATAATATAAACGTATTTGAAAAGCCAAGTATTTACAATGAGATGTTGATGGTATCGCACACTTCCATCCATCTGATATGCATAAGGTCATCCACGTATCATTGTCTGTGCTACTGGGTGGAAGAGGAGAAATATGACCTCCAGTTTTCTGTCCTCTCTGCTTAAACAGGAACACTCCATTATGCTACTGGTCTCCCAATACAACAGTTTGATGACAAAGAGGTACAGCTTTAGTAGCTAATCAAAGATAGAAAATGGAATTCCTTCCTATTGTATCTCAGCAATGGCAAACTGCATTTTCCTTGTATAAATGTATTAAAGCTATTGCCAACGTATCCTCATAATAAGAATGTTCTAAAACAGTGTTTCTCAAACCTGGCACCTTTAAGATGTGTGGATCAACTCCCAGAATTCCCCAGCCAGCAAATGTTCCACCACTTATTAGTAACTGGTTGTTATATAAACTATCTATTTCCAATTAATTCACCATAGCTTGCTATACTGGAATTTATTTTTATTATTCTTTATGGCCATCATCTGGCAATCACCCTAACCCTCTAGTTCAGTGTTTTTCAAACTGCAACTTTAAGATAGATGGACTTCAACTTTGGCTGGCTGGGGAATTCTGGGAGTTGAAGTCCACCCATCTTAAAGTTGCTAAGTTTGAGAAACACTGCTCTAAAATCTCTTTTTTTAAAAAATGTATTCATACCCTTGACTGGTCCTGGAATTGTTTCCCTACTGCATTCGCTTTTTTCTGGGCCTCAGTGATAAGTTCTTTCAGTGCTAGAGCATCATCTTTCCTCAAGGAAAAGCCCACATTCTTCAGCAGCAGCAGAATTAGTTCAATATCCTTTCCGGAAAAAGTGCTAACAAACTTCTTTAAGATGTCAAAAATCAGCAGTGAATGCACTACATAAAAGTTGTACAAATTAGCAATTAAGATAAGCAGGTTCTCGCATTCTTTTCCTTCGGCTTCACTTTTGTAGACATCATCAAATTTCCTCACCACGGTTTCCAAAAAGTGAGCACCAACCTGGAATAGTTTAACACACGTGCAGACACAGAAAAGATCTATGAATATTGATTGGTTAAGTATTTCAGAAAGGAAACCTAACAATAACTAAAACCTGTGGCCCTAAAACCTGCTAACCAGCAATTTAGAAAAGGGCATTATCGTCAGCTACACTAAAATGATATTGCTAACTAGTGATGTATATAACCTACCCTACCCAGATCTGTTAGTTTTGCATAGATCTGGTATTAATTATTGGACTACACTATCATTGGACAGGTAGCCTTTTCAGTTAAACCTATGCCTTTTAATCTGCAGTGGTTTAATCTTCACTGCTTCGCTTAATGACCGAGTTGCTGGTCCCAATGTGGTTGCTAAAGGAGGACGACCTGTATTTAATATAATTTTATACTTCTTACTCTCCTCTCCATTTATCTTCATGACAATCTTGTGACGTAAACCGAACTGGCAAGGAGTCACTGGGTGAGCATTTGAACTCAGGACTCTCTACTCTAATTCAACATTTTCAGCACTGTAACACACCAGTTCTGTCACCAGCAATATATTTAATGTATTATTACTGTAAGTTTTCATAAGAATGCTTCACATTTGACACTTGAGGTAAAAGGTGGAGATTAAATTTAGAAAACAAGTAAAATATATAAAATTAACCTTTCTTCTTCTCTCACCACATATCTTCCACTGGGGGAGTTAAAAAAATTAATCAAAGGGTGGAATGTCATTTTGTTAGGTCTAGCTTCTTAGTTTAATATATCATAACATGCACAGGCACCAGGATGTTGTGAAAGTACCAGAACATAATTAGTGCCTAATAATGAAAAAAAGTTTTTACTACATTCCCAACTTGTATAAGACAAATTAAAGAAATGTCAAGAAAAGTTACCTCGATTCCCACAGTCTGATGAAGAACACTAACCAAAAGAACATGCTCCGACAGCAGTCTGGAAGGTACTGCTGATTCCATAACACAAGCACAGATAAGAATATTTGTTAATGTTTCATTCATATCTTTTCTACTGTTTGTCATATACAGTTCTTCCAACTGCCCACTTATAGAAGCTAGATTTGGTTCGCTCAACCTAGTGGGAAACAATTACATAAGAGTAAAATTAAACTTTTTTTTAATTAAAGTTAAACACCTATGGGTGTTTAAAGCATATCTTGACGTATTTTTGGATTTTCCTTATTTTAATTTCTAAGTACACACTCCATCTAAATCTGGTCTGGGCTATTATTTTATGTATTTATTTTTAGTCCAAAAATAAAGAAAATCTGCATGTTATTCATCACTTCCTGTTGTGTGGTGACTTTCTGTATTCAGCCTAATATAGGCTTTTTGGTGCACATCTTTTACAAATACATGCTTTTCTGTGTGATGCTAGAAAAACAATCACTACAAAATCCTAAGGATTCTATAATGGTGGCAAAAATGGAAAGAAAGAAGGTGTAACGAGCTGCCACCTGTTGATCCCAAATCCAGCAACTTTCCTTGCAACCAATATTGATTCAAAAGAAAGTTCATTTATTGAGAATGTACAGATGTACATTTGTACAGATCCAAAGCATTGCTAAGACTGATCAAAAGCGCGCCAAAAGCTGTTTTTCTTACTCCCCCGCCCCCCCACATCGCCCTTAGCTCTTGGTCCTCTGATTCTCTTGCTGGTATGACCTTGAGCAT